CCGAGTCAAGGCACAGGAGACCTGGCGGTCCTCCCCAGCTAATCCAGCCCACAGTCAGGGCTCGCAGTGCGCTGTCAGTCGTTCTCGACGGTGAACATACTGCTGTTTGGAATGCGGTGCTGTGGTCTATGAAATGATAAAAATGGAAAATTTTTCCATTCTTGTTGGTCCAAGTCACTCCATCCATGGATACCACGTCTCCGAAATCTCTTTCTTCATGAATAACGGACGGTCTAGGTATGTTTTGACTCTTGCATTCGGTACATGTTGAGCACTTCATATCTGGTATAGCTTCCAGGATATATGGCTGACAATTCATGTGTTTGCAGAATGTTTGGAGCTTCATGCTACCAGGATGGCCGAGATTTTTGTGCAATTTCAACAACCATTGTTGATCTTCGGTTTTCAACTCTAGGAATCTGGGACCATGTTTTTGACTTGCAAGATCTATCATTTCTCGAATTGAACTCTTTGGATCTTCGCGAACTGATCTCTCTTGGTTTTCCTCATCCACGGTTCTTCTCTTGGCAGGCGGTTCACTTTCGGCATCAGCTGCCGATGGTAGTCGCTTCTGGGACTCTCTAGTCATCGCTTCTGAATCATCCGGATTCAGATGAGAGGGGTTTTCCGGTCGGGCTGAATATTCTATTCGAGGCTTGGCAAAAACCATCAGACTGACTCTGGCTGGGGTACACTTGCGTCTAAGCCTTCTATAGGACAATCTTTCCCAGTTTTCCCATTCTGGTTCAATTACCACGTCCTCAAATCTTCGTCGAATGCATATCATCTTGCGGAGAGCGCCCTCTCCTGGATGCATTACTTTCAGCGGGCCTAGCATTCGATCCACTCCTCGACACAGGACAATGTGAGAGACCTCCTTGTCTGGAATCAAAGCTGTTAATGATGGGTCCACTCTGAATGACTGATGGACCTACTCGTTTTGCGAGACGATTTGCTTCCTGCATTATGGTTTCCCATGTTGGATTGATTAGATCTATTGAAGTCTTTTGACACAGTCTTCCCCTTTTAGTGGGGTGATCGTCGTCCTGACTCGTTTCTCCTACAAAGGTCCATTGAGGCTTTTGATGCTCTCGATTTAGACATGCTACTACCTGTCTTGCAAACTTTCTCGGATATCGTTCAGTGAACGAAGACAGTTGGATGCTCTTTGACGTTTCAGGATCACGAACATGTCCTGCGATCTGATGGTGCTCATGGTCCCCCTTGCAGTATCGAAAATGCAACATCAAATGCAACTCTTTGGAGGTCGTCAAGACTACAAAAAAAAAGAAAAGGTTTGGGGATGAGAGAGATCTCCCACACTGCACACGTCGAATTTGCTCGGCTTTGCAATTTGGCTCATTTGGACAAAACTGGGGTGTCTCAGCATCTTCGAACCTTCGGGTTGTTCAATGTGGCAATGTTTGTTTCTCTCAACCTGGTATTCGAACAACACTTGAACTAGTGCGATCTGCCACAAATGACTTCGTTGCTGATTCATGGTGTTCTCGAAAGCTTCGATGGATTTGTTCATGTTCAGGGAGGTCCACTTACACCATGGTTTGCACTCAGGACTAATCCAAATGTTCTCTGGTTGTTCAAAAAGGATATGTGCAAACATATTCTTTCTCTGGTTCTCGTTTCTGAGATCACCTTGCGTCAACCCGAAGCGGAAAGCTTTCAGGCCGCGGGCTTGACTTTGGCGGACGAGCTCGCTTTGAGAAGAGCAGAATATGTCATACAAAAATGTTGGCTGCATGTTGTCGAATGACCCGCTGTGCTTGTTGGAACTCTTTACGATATTTACGAACAAGAGTCTGGTAGGCTGCTCGTGTCTTGGTTTCATCCCACAGTTCAAAATCGAGTTGAGGCTCCCCGAAATGATTGAGACTGAAACACTCTGTTACGAGCTTTTGGTATTCTGGCTCTTCTAGATCTCCGGGTGCTCTTCCTTGACTACCGTCCAGTTGCTGGGCTGCTCTACCGATGCACTTGCCAGCGTCCTCAGATGGTGGACTATCTCCTGGAGGGTGTGTTCCACCGAGTTCATGCGCCCTTGCCGATCGTAGAGCTCCTCTGGGAACGACGGGCTCATTGCTAAGTCCAGTGCTTGAGGATCTGGAACATATGTCGGCACACTTGCGGCATGGGCCTTTGGTTTGGCCTTGGATTTTAGAGCAGTCATGGGACCTTTCCTCTCGGTCTTGAGTGATGTAGGATCCACTGGTGTCTGGTGCGAGTAGTATCGATCCTCCGGGCTGAGCTCCTCTTTCTCCATCTTGTCGAGACGGAGTTGCACATATCGGACGAACATCCGATGTTCTTTCTTGGTCGAGCTCTCGAACTTGCTCACCACGAATCTTGTCCACTGGGTGTCGGCAAATGCTTCTGGGAACTTGCATCCCATCTTGGTTTTGCCGAACATGATCACCTGTGTTTCGAGATCGGTCAAGGTCATCTCGTCGATCTCGACGTGATCCTCTTCTTCCTTCTGTTGCTTCTGGAGTCGAAGTAGCTGAGCGGACAGCGCGGACATGATCGGGCTCACAATGCGGTACACCGGGAGCGGCACTTTCCGAAGAGCTAGGAGCACAAGACTGAGGTGACTGAGTCTCTAGCTTTAGTTCATGCTTCATGCTATGTGTCGAAAAATTCTCCGAAACGGCCGATGGTCTTGTCGACTTGCACGACTCCTGACTGTCGAACGGTTCAGGGACCTTGACTTCAGCTGGCACAGCACGAATTGTTTTCTCACATCGATCGGAGTTGGTTAGTACATCGGAGCTTTCCTGCGGAGAACTCTTAGCTATCAGGATAGAATCCGGCTCGCTGCATTGTTTCGAGGTTTGTGACTCCCACAGTTGGTTGATGTCCAGCAAGAATAGATTCTTGTTAGTTTGTGTCATGTGCAAGTTTCGATTCAAGCGTTTTGACCACAATGTCCCCTTTTCGGTGTCGATGACTGCTTGAACGTGTTTTAAGAAACTGCTTGACAACAAAAATGGAGTCTTTCCCTCGACAATGGCTATGCGAATCCAGGTCCCTCGAAGCGGCAGGAGAAGCGCGACTTTGCTCGGCAGAGTTTGGTGGTTTCCAAACTTGAAAATCAAATTACATTTCGTCTTCCGGGCCTGCTTCTGGATCTCACTCGGCAAATTGTTTAACAATTCGGAAACCTGTTCGCTTCCAATGACCGTTTGTGAGGCACCAAGGTCAACTACTCCTGTAGTTCCTACCGATGCGAACAGGCTCGGAAATTCTTCAAACTGGTCGGATTTGGATCGGCTAGCTTGAGCACTCACCTCAGGAAGACAGGCTTCACGGCTCTTCCTGACAGGGATTTGGAGTTGGGCTCTCTAAGCTTGGTTTTGAACTTCTCTTCAAAGAACTTGACTCTTTGTTCGACCAACCCGAACACACAAACATCAGGGTCCTCAGGGTGTTCATGGTTACTCGAATGAAATCTCTGGAACTTGGTCGAGGTCGAACGACACGGCTGCGGAGGTCGGGGATACGTAAGCACTCTTCTCGGATCCACTGCCTTGGTTGTCGGCAGACTTGCGAGCTGGGCATTCTGCACGCCAATGGCCTTTCTGGTTGCAGTGTCGACAATACGATTCAGCAATGCGTTGCTGAAGGCTGCGGAAACCCTTTGAGCCTTTGAACCCCTTTCCTTTACCTTTACCTTTGAAACCTTTGGAACTCAAGCCACCTTTGCCACTACTCCAAAAGCCTCGGGCCTTCACACGATCTTGGAGTCTCCGACGGGCATCTTGGTACGAAGAAAAAATGCCGACAAATCTTGATCATCCTGAATCACGTCTTGTATTGCGGCCTCAAATTGAACAACCAATGCTGCATCGGGATCATCTTGGGCCAACGCTTCAAGATTTTCTTCATCCATGTATTCTTCATTCCATGACCAGTCGGGTTCCTCATCGTTGTCCTCCTCGGCCACGAATGCGGTACTGTCGTAGGTCTTCAAGGATATTTCTCTTTTCCCTGAAGTCATCTCCTGAAAGAAGGAGGATCCCAGCATCCTCACTGCTGCTTGAACCTTCTGCATGGTCAGAGCTCCACCAGATTCTGCTCCGGCTTCGACCAGCACACGCTTTTTGTCCTCAGGAGACAGTCGACTGCCACGCAAAACAATGTAGGCCTGAACTTCTGGGAGGGACACCTTCTTCATCAACACTTCGGTCCAGGTGACATCGCTGCGAGCCAAAAAGGAATCCGAACTTTCATCCGGTTTTTGGACGCACTTGTAGATGGCTCTCTCGACAATTTCATATTTCTTCTCCAAGTCGATCTGTCCGAATTGCCCTGCTACGATCTCAATGATCTTCTCAACACCACCCTTGTCACCTGTCAAAACCTCAGATTGTCGAAGTTCAAGCTTTTGAAATGCCGAACCCTTTGTATTAAGAACAATGCGGGTTGCCAGTTCTCTCAAGCGGGATTCTGGCCAAGCTTGCAAGATCAATCTGACTTTTTGCGACCATTGCTCAACACTATCAACACCCGGGTCAAAGGTTGGGACCAGCTGTGCCAATTGCGACGTCAGGGATTGTGTCGTCTCTGAACTAGCTGTAGCTGTCGCCATCCCACAATCGACCGGGCTCCGCTACCAATCACAAAAGGATTGGTAGCTTCCTCGCCCTCGAGGTTGCAACAAAACTGGTTGGAGACCACTCCAATGGAAAACAATGCAATCCAACAACCAATGGTGACCACACCACAAAGTACCAGGTGTCCACACCCAACGGAATCCGGTTGCCCTTATCCAAAAGGGCCCAAGGTTCTCCTCGCAGCCTTTTCCTCAGACCATGGCACAAGCGAATCCTCTCCACACCCGCCCTCGCTCGAGAGATGCGACAGCGGAACATAAGCAAGATCGAAAGGGGCAACATGCGACCTGGTTCATTTCGACAGTTTGGGGGGGTCGATGTAGGCATATATTCCATACATGGAGTGTATGGATACAACTGATCCCAAGGCTCCAAGAAGTTGTCCACTCCCGGCAACGCCCGCCGGAGCAAAGAAACGCCACTCAACGCCTCCGGAGCCTGCGGCGTTGGAAGCGTTTATTCGGTCGTATTGGACAGTCGGTAAGCCAGGCCGAAGCCTGGTAGATGAGGGGGTCCGGCGTCATTCTTTTTCCACCCAAACCAAGATGTCGGGCAAAGCATCAACTGTTTGTTTGTCATAACCTTTCGTATAGTTGTTTATACAATGACTTTGGATATAACTTGTGATAGATCTACAAACTACAAATGGTTCATCTTCCTTTCTATCTCGAGGTCAGTACAGGAAGTGAATCACCAAGGGTTGGGATGCAGCAGCACACGACAACTGCTTTATTGGAGTCGTTGTCTGTATGTGTCCTATTTGACCTCCAAGCCTCCAAGCTGGCCAACATCTGCCTTAGATTTGAATACACTGAGAACTCCTTGGTGCCTATTCCTGCATGGAGGAGGCCACAAATCGATCTGTTGGTGGATCGATTTGTCTCATCGATGGATCGTGTCTGCCTGGTGTCCAGGACTGAGCATAAGTAAATCAATATGGCAATGGATCAAAACAGGGGGACCCTGGTTGACCCCGAACATGAACCGATTCCTCTACAAGGGATGTCAACCCACCATGGTCTGGTGGAGAAGGTTTTGACTCACAGGCATATGACTCTATTTGGTGGTTGATCTAAATTCCTTGTTGTGAAAACGCAAAGCTTTCACGATGGTTTGTCACAGTGATGTCTGACACGGAGTCGTACAATCTGATTTTAGCTTGCCAAAATCTGACAAATTTGACATCAACACACCAAAGACTCCCTGCTCAGTGCACAAGCCAAAACTGCTGGAAGAAAAATACAACCAACCTGTACCAAACTATAACAAACTATAAGCAAGACACATGAAAAAAGAGAATCCAAAGCTCAGGCCCTCACCCAATGAAGTTAACTATAATCAAAATATCACCCCTCTTCGGCACCAAAACCCAAGTTAACAAACCAACCCCGGCACGGGTTGCGGTCAGAATCAGCGCCCGCGCCTGGACGGGATAGGGGAAACGACAGGCGGGGCATTTCCACCACCAGGTCATGAAGTCGGGCTCCTGGACGAGTGGCGACTCAGAAGGAAGCACTGAAATATGTGAAATAGGTAAAATGGTGCTTTTGGGAGAGGCTTCGAGCCAAGGCAAATCATTGATGTGTTTTTTGGGGTTGGGTCTTGAAAAGCACCTCGCCAAAGACTTTTCAAGAGTCAGAAGCTAGTGGTTCGGAAGGGTCTTTCGTGGTTTCCCTATTCCAATACACACCCATTGAAGATCATTGAAGTGCTTTGGTGCAGTTTACTTGGCCAGTGATCAACCTGGAAGCCACTTGCCCAGGCACTCATGATGGACAGGGCATGCTGGGCATGATACTGTAAGACCCTCAGTGCATGGCACCGCTTCACATAGAAATCGGTGAGACTTCCAGCTGGCCACAAAGACCACACAATGGGTATATCGAAAGCGTTGGAAGGACGTGTAGGACGCGTAGCGCCGCTTGGAGTACAACGACCCAGCCAATGGCCCATGGAGACGACAGAGATGAGTCCTTCCCACGGAGATCTGGACTATTCCACTCCTTATCCTCACCCCTCACCGTCCCCCACCTATCAAGTATTCTCTAGAAATGAGTCCTTCAACTCTCGGCGTCTGGTCTCTGTAACTCACAGTGTCTTGGACAAATGCTGACACTCAAATTGAGTCCTTACACTGCACCCACAAACTTGAGGGTTGAACTACAGTATGTTGAACTATTGCAGAGAGAACACCCAAACTCAGAATTTTAGAATCTTCTCTATAGGTATCTCTAGGTATGTCGGCCCAATGGAAAACAACGTGAATCATCTTCCACCTCCAGCACCGCCGACGGACAGGCCGTGTGACCCGGTCGCCTCGTCCATGTACTCCTTTCGGGACGAATGGCACCGGGAAAGGACATTGTCACTGAAGAGCCCTTACAAGATGCTTGGATGGTACATTTACAAAACGAATCAACACGACCTGCTTGTACGACCATGAAAAACCACGAGTGACGAGGGGTACCCTAGCATACCTGGTTTCTAGCCGGGTTGAGTGATCCCTTCTTCCATCTAAGAGAATAGTCAACCAAGAACATGGGCCTGTTTCAGGGGAATGTAAGTGGGCTTTGTACTCAAAACGAGTGGCACCCTGAATCTGAAGACTATTGACATCCTATGTCCGTTTCTGACGTCCTTCGTATCTCCAAAATCACATGACTTACCCTGACCTGGAAAGGGGGCAGCTTGATTGCCTCACCGACCTCGTCACGAGGATAGAGATCATCTTGATTTTGGGAAGCTTGTCAACATGACTACAGTAACAAAGCTAAACTAAAGACCCCCTGGCTGAAAAGACCCCCTGGCTTGAGTGTCTTTTACTTAGTTGCTTTTGTGACTGTGGCCATTCCGTCCCCACTGCGCAGGCCCCATGCCACCGGCCCCGCTCGCTCCGGCCACATGAAGACCAGGCTTCCTCCGGGTTTCACCAGAACGGGTGAGCCAAAGCGAACAACACCGACCGAACACGTGGTGTCAACAGGGAAGGGCTCCATTCACAATGATGAAACAGTCAAACTAAGCCCCTCTTCATCCCCCGCCAAAAAGCATTTGGCATGTCTTGTGCATGTATCATATATTTATAAATACATGATAATACATGTCTTCATTTATGAGTCATGGGGTATCCATGACCATTTGTTCCTTGATCTGCATGATTTGTTGAAATAACAATTCATCACTTACCCCTGAGGCCATGTTCAGAGTCTACAGCAAGACTTCAGGGCCCTGCCCGTGCAGCATCCCCACTGGATATCTGCTCCACGTCTGACTCATCAGCCGTCACACGGCTCAGGTGGTCGCTGGACGGACGCGTTTGCCCCAAAGAATCGTGTCTATCTCTTTGAAGGATTTATTTGGCCCCACTCGAGATCCTCCCACCACGAAGAACAGAAGTGAGACCTTCAATCATTTCAAATCTCCAATCCCAGCTCTAAATGTACTCTGGGCACGTGACAACTTGAAAGTCAGCACACCGGGCTTTAAGCCAAGCAACAAACATAGCGTCTCAGTGTCTGTGTATTTGAAAGTTGAAATCATGTCGCACGCTTAAGGGTCGGGTTCACTTGCTCTGAAACAGTTACAGAATCCTAGGCGATTCTGCGTTTCCCAGAAGCTGTTCAGGGCCCACCCTTTTCTAGCTGGTCCCCAAGGGACTTGTCGTCTAAAGCCAAGGATCTCATGGTCTTCAAGCCCATCAGGAGCTTCTGCCGACTCCGCGTCAGTGACTTCGCCAAGACCGAGGCGTTCTTCGGCACGACCTGGTCAGGGAAGGGTGGTTTGTGACGGGAAGTTGTTACAAAGCCTCTGAACAAAGGAAGCAAAATCACTTCAACAGCGGAAGCAACATGGAGCTCTTCTGTTCACTAGTTCAAGCAAGATGTAAAACTAGCACTTCATAAACTCGATCACATTGCATAAAACCTCCCATTTACAGAACTCCAGTTCTTCAGCAAACTCTCTGATGTGGCCGACAAATCGAGAAAACACATAGACATACCCTCCCTGAAACAATCATGTTACGTGGAGCCCCAGCCTGTTCTTCTTCGGAAAACCGTTTTCCTTTCGGGGCCATGGCAACCACGGACCCATGTTTGTTGGATGGAGGGTAGGCAAATGAACATGTACACCATTGAGTCCTCTGAGCAGTGTCAGCCCACGTTCAAGCAAGGCACGAGCTGCATCCCGCGCCGCAAGCGCACTCCCGCCACGGTCACCTGATAGATCTGAGATTGGCGTTTCGGAACTCTGTATGGGCAGTTCTTGTGCGACACAATTTGTTGAAACAGGTTGAGGCCATCATGAAACATAGTGCAATGATGCCACTGCCAAGTTTGCGAATGTCCTGAAACACATGCATGGTTGAACAGTAGTGTTGACATCACTAGTGACTTGGCGATCAAGTATATCATTACTATATCCGCCGGTTCAGCGGTCTGAACCTCGCTGTTGAGACATGTTGAGACAATCGAGGTGCCAAAAATAGATCTCTTGGATCTGAAATCACCCAAATCCAGCGCTCCGGCGCTCCGTGTCTTTTTTCCAGCCAAACTTGAGCGATATTGCCACCCTACATACCTGGTGTTCGGGGGACCAAATGACCAGATGCGGACCATACGAGCGCGAGTTTTGCCTCCAGAACTGGTCCCAAACGCCTCAACTTATTGGGCCTGTTCGCCGCAAAGTCTTGACTACCAGCACCTTCCAACAGGTCTCCGAAATGGAGGGCTGTCAGGCCCTAACGGGTTTCAATGGGTGACCTGTTGGAGGTGCTGGCATACAAGCACCTTTGAACCATCATGAACCATCGTGTGCAGGTATACCATCCTTGCAATCGTCTTCGGGTAGCCGAATGAATACCTCGTCTCTGAGCGTGCCGGAGCATGCTGTCATCCCCAGCAACATGATGCCTTGTTGTAAGCACATTAAGCATACTTGTTCCCAAACGTGCTGCCTGCTGCCTGCCTGCCTGCCTGATAGCATAATGAACATGTATACTCTCTATCTCTACAACAATCTTATTCCGCCAAAGGTCTATGAACAAGAATTGGCAACAAATTCCCAAGGTTGAATGGCCACCTCAAACATGCTTGCGCCGCAAGCAGCAATGCGAACATCCCTTCCGGTCCAGAAACAGCCACGACAACCAGAAACGGGGCCCAGTCCGTTCGTTGTCCGTTCGCTGTGTTCCAGAACAGTTGAACTAGAAAACAAATTCATCGCATGAGTTCCGGGGCTCTCAAGTCTGAAGCTTTTTGACAGTGATGAATGCAAAAATTGGTTCGGTTTATCCCACTAGCAGTTTTCAGTGGATGATGGTTAGGTTGCAGGATGACATCTCCTTCTGTTACAGGTTTACTGGGGCACTTGATAAATAAACCCACCCACTCTTCATATTTGGAGGCTTTATCAAGAGTCTACATGAATAGGACAATTCCAATCAATTGGCTACTACTCTATAACATCTATAACCAGGTGGCATCAGACTCCAAGACCAAGTCCGGCAAAGCCAAGGCATCGCAAATGGGCGCGCACAGGTCAGTCCGGTGTTGGACCAGAACCTGCGACCCATACGACCGACGAGCGACGAAACGGCACCAAACACTCAGCACCACCCTTGAAAACTTATTGATTAAAAGGCCACCCTCCTTTGGCAAATTCGGGTGGCAGCGACTCACAATGATTCGGGGTCATCGACTGCCCCACAACATCCAACACTGACTCTGGTGACACGAAATGCACCCTCTGATGGACCCGCGGCATCTCGACCACTCATCCTCCACGCCTGCACCCGGCGCCCTTCGCTGTGCCCCGGTGACCTCGCCCGAGGAGACGGGCGTCCCCGCGAGCGCCGCGGCGTGCGCGGCGTGCGCGGCGTGCGCGCGCGGCTGGGGCTCAAGTCGCCCAGCATTTTCTGCAGCGTGGCGTCATCTTTTCCTGGGTAGACGCTGCGGGAGTTGGTTAGCTTTGCCAAGGGTTGGAGAGGTGTAAAATGGTAGTTGTTGTTTCTTGTACAGTAATATCTGTTATTGTCTCTTCCTATATACAGTATACAATGTGTACAATAAGAACAAGTCTGCACCTGGTGGGTGCATATTATGTTTTGGCTATCCTATGCCGAGGATCAATGGGTAGTAAGTAGTAAGTAGTGAGTAGTAGTAGTAGTAGTAGTAGTAGTAGTAGTAGTAGTAGTAGTAGTAGTAGCAGTAGTAGTAGTAGTAGCAGTAGTAGCAGTAGTAGTAGTAGTCGGAGTAGGAGTAGGAGTAGGAGTAGGAGTAGGAGTAGGAGTAGGAGTAGTAGTAGTAGTAGTAGTCGTTGTCCTACATCGCACCCGTCTAAACCCATGCTTTTCATGTAATTCTTGTTGCGCGGATTCCAGGGCCTACCAAGTAACGTTGAAACGCTTATGCAAAGGGTGGCCTACCCCCGTGAAAGTTAACACTCTAAAGAGTCTAATTCTACTAGGAGTCTCACCTCTTGGTCAGGTGCCTCCACCCACTCGTGGGTGCCACGACATTTTCACCTGAAAGGTATCAGATCAAACCTCGCACCAAAAATGACCTATACGTCAGCAAATGAACATGTCATATAGGTGTCATATACCGACACCCCAAAGGTATCTGACATATATATAGAACACTGACTAACATACTGACCGCCACCTATACATGAGATTCGGTCAAGCCCTTGGCTTTGGCACCCAACCCCTTCATCTCCACTCCGCCCGGTCACGCGCTTCGACCACCTCCGGTGGAGGCGGTGGCGCAGGGGGTGGAGGCGGCAAGGGCGCAGTGGGTGCAATGGGGTCACCGGAGGTTGGAGCCACTGGAGCCGTTGGAGCCACTGGAACTGCTTGGACTGGCGCAATGGGAGGAGCCACTGACCCAGCTGCGGCGGGTGCAGGGACTGGTTGGGGTGGTGCGCTGGGTGCGGGTGTGCGGACCACCACTGGTGCTTGTGGAGCTACAGGTGCTGGAACAGCCACTTGTGGAGCAATGGGTGCTGTGGGGGGGCTGACAGCCACGGGTGTTGTTGGAACTGCGGGCATTGTAGGGGAAGGGGATCTAACAGGCGGAGCTGCAGGTGCAGCAGGGGTTGATGGAGCTCTAATCACTGGTGCTTGGGGAGCTGCAGGTGCAACGGGTGTTGAAGGCGCTCTAACACTCACTGGTGCCTGGGGAGCTGCAGGTGCAGCAGGAGTTGAAGCTCTAACCACTGGTGCTTGGGGAGCTGCAGGTGAAACGGGAGTTGAAGGAGCTCTAACACTCACTGGTGCCTGGGGAGCAGCAGGTGCAGCAGGGGTTGAAGGAGCCCTGACCACTGGTGCTTGTGGGGCTGCAGGTGCCGCAGGTGTTGCAGGGGCTCTAACACCCACTGGTGCTTGCGGGGCTGCAGGTGCCGCAGGTGCAACTGGTTTTGAAGCCAGCGCTGGTTTCAGTGGCACACTGGGTGCCGAAGGTGTCTTTGGTGCAGCCGGTGCTGTCCTTGACCCGGCCGGCGGTGTGGGTGACCGCACATGTGCACTCTTCATGGCAGAGCGTGGTGGTGTCGGAGATCTTTGGACACCTGGACAGCGTGGCGGTGATGAAAATTCCCTGGCCATGGCTGACAATTTGATACAATTTGTCGTCCTCTTTGCGAAGAACATATTGAAAACAATTGAACACATAATTTATTGATTGACTAGTATCAATTGACCAGTCAATCTGGAACACAAAACAATGGCTAATGGGAGCCTCTTTTAGATTTTACCAGAGATTTCTGGATTTACAAGTTGATCCCCAATGAGTTGCCTTCCACTGGCGGATCATCAAAGCTAACCATAGCTCTGGGTTCTGTAAATCGTTCCATTCTTGATCCTTTACATCTGGAAACTCCGAAGGAATAGAAAACGCTCCGCTGTTTCGTCCATCCCCGGTTCCCGGTTCTTGAACTAAGTTCGGAGACCAAGCTGGGAGTGCCACCACGCGCGAGTGTCACTTGTCACTCAAAAACCAGCTCACGACCGCCACAGCGGTCAGGCCGCGCTGGGTGGGAGCAGCGAATTGGGTCGAGAAGGACCCGATCGACTCTTGAAAACGTGCTCTAAGCCAAACACGTGAGTCACGGCACCAAAAGGCCCCTCCTTGCTAGTCAACTGCTCGCAAGATCGAATCCTTTAAAGCAAAAACCAAAGACTTGCAATTGTTGGAGCTCTACCTTCCTTGTTGCCTGGAGAATCTGACTACCCCATGCCATCTCCTTGCCACGAGAGCCTAATTCAAAAAGCAGACTCGTTTGCACTATTTTACAGCAACCATTCACAAAGCCTTTGTCGGACATTGCTATCTAGTCCATGGTAATGAGTAAGAAAATAAGATTGACCTAAGTGACCTAAGGTTATCCCAAGGCTAGTACTTGAAAAAAAGAGAGGAGGGGGAACGCGTGGACCACATCCCTCCTTAGCACCTCTTGCTCGTCTTCGCCCCCGCCTGACCGCCGCGGCGGCGTGGGCGCCCGCGGCACGCGGGGCCCCGCGGGCTCGAAGTCGTCAGAGTAGTCGCTGTCGGCGCGGCCCCCGTCGCGGCTGGGGGAGGGCGACAGAAGCGAATGCTGCAACCCCGAATCCTCACGGCTGGCCGTTGACGTCAGGAATCGAAGGATCGGTCGCTGGCGAAGTGCGAAGGAGGTCAGGTCTTAGTTAACCATCCAAATGAGGGATCAAGTTGTTGTACGCGCATGTCCGTGTATTGGTTTAGCCAAGGCCATGGAACACATCCTGAAGTCTTCCGGAGTGAGTATACCTGCAATCTCAGTTCTCAGGATACTATAGAACAGAAGGAATAAAGACCTTCAACCACCCTGCCCTTCCAAGTCTCCCAAAAAGAAATACCTTCCAATTCCGATCCCCATCGCAGCGCTTTGACCACAGGAGGTGGGTCTTAGACCAACAACATCTTCAACATCTTGCTTTCCAGGATCAAACAGCTGGGCTGTCGCAGCAAAGGACAGAGCCGTCGCCTCGGCCACGACCGGGAACCGCCGTCGTCTCCGCGGATTCCCTTGTCATTTGACCATTGAGAGCGGTGTCCAAAAACCATCACCGGAACTGTCATGAGGAGGTTTATGACGTCGCTCATGAAGAGCAAACTGACAATTGCTTTTTAACAAAACTTGAGGCCAAGGGGGGGGGCGAAAGCTAGCGCTCCAGAATGGGAAAGTGGAGGGCAGCGAGGTAGGAAAAAAACACGGCGCTCTTTTTGGAGGCAGTCGCACGGAGTAGCAGAAGGCAGGACGCCTTGCACAAGTTGGGCGGGGCAAACGATTCCAGGTGAAGAGTCCTTTATAGTGGCTCTTTGCCCGGATCCTCCTGCGAGAGAAGAGAGAGAAGAGAG